GGCAAATGTTGCACTGTCTCCGTTTGAGCTGAAGCCTTATGCACCTTGGATTATGAGATTCCTCAGGACAAGGTCTTCACTCAACTACAAAGCTGATTTTCAGAATCATCTCAGCTACCTGCCCCCCATTGAAGTCCTCAAGCAGACCTATTCCTCAGTTGATGGAAAGGGCAAGGCACCAGCTATTATAGATGAAGGCATTCGTCCATTGGATGGCCAGTTTCGCAAAGCTGCCTCTTATTCCACCAATGATGACTCTGCCACACATGACTCTGCCAATGCAACCAAGTCTACTCCTCAAGCCACTGCTCCTCGTGTGATGACTAATCGTGAGCTTCTGCTTAGTCTTCATCAGAAGGTGGATCAAAATCATAAATGGGTTAAGCGTCAGTTTGGTTCATTTCTTCACAACATGACTGCTACACACAATGAAGTGAAGAAAAACCATTACTACCTCCATAAAGTCTTCGGTCGCACCTGGGCAATCCTGTCACATCTGTATGGTGAAGACGATCTGAAGAAAATGGGTCTCGAGGAAGATTTTGACTGGTCTGCACCTCCACCGAAGAAATTCAAGAAGGTCAAGGTTCCTTCTCTAGTGGCCAGCTCATATTCTTCATCGCGCGACACTGATGAAAATGAAGACTTGGACGACACTGCGGCAGGCCCTACTACAACAAACGACCCCAACAATGCTGGCGCTCCTTCATCAACTTGATATTCTTCAGGGGCGTTAGTCCACATATTCAATCCTTTTGGTCATTTGATGACAAAGGGGGAGAATTTTGAGTTAGTCTTCAAGCGGGTCTTTCTATATGGGCATTTTTTTTCAAGTTACAACTCTCGTTCTTTTGAGACTTTATTAAATCGAGCTGTAAACTTAAACCCGATGGTGCTCTGATACTCCTGATATGTTTTTCTACATGCTTATTCCTTGTTAATATTATTGCACGCATGTTGAATTACATCAGTCACCATATTTCATCATGCATTTCAAATTCTTCACTGTTATATGTCAAATGCGTGTATGAATTACAAGATATAGGGGGAGACCTCCATGATTCAACTCTTCAAGTGTGCATTGCTTCAAAAGCAAATTCCTCACTATGCACATCTTCAGGGGGAGTTCTTCTATATTTTGCAATCAAATTCCTCAATATCAATATTTACACTTCATATGTTTATCCCCGTTGAAAACTTAACCTATATTGTCATCAATCACCAAAAAGGGGGAGATTGTAAGTGCATCTAGTGCCCCTTAATGATTTTGGTGTATTGAAGACTTATAGATTAAGGGACTAATGCGTTTGTGAGTGTACACAGGTCTATAAGTCTATGAGGAGTTTGATATTTACAGAGAAAGTCGACCTCTAAAAATGAAGTTCTTTGACTAAAGACTTTAAATCTCCGAAGACTTTCTGAAGACTTTGAAAGTGAAGAAATTGGTGTGACCTTGAAGACTTGGTATTCATTCGAGGAACATGAAGCATGAAGACTTTTGTTTTCGTAGTTTTATTTTCTCTTTCTTGAGTCATAGGAAACACCGTACTGTTAAAGGGGGTCGAGGACATACTAAGGAAAAATTTCCATGTGATGCTCAACTCAAAATTCTACACCTACCAATCCCTTCGAGTGAAGCCATTGGAAATCTCATACAGTCCAGTCATATTCTTCAATGACAGAGATGAAGTTCTTAGGGTCTCTGAGGAATTTGTTCTGACTGAGGAGTTAGGAATTCGCTAGTGCGGATTTCCTACACAGTGAGGAACATGATAGCCCTGAGGATTTTGCTACTCAAAATTCCAACCGTTGCTGTGCTATGCGCCAGCTGTCCCAAAATATCTATCCATCTAACGGTCATATCATTGAAGGGCATTTATGTCTTATCATGTCGGGATGCTCCCTAGGCTATAAATAGCCGCCCCCTACAACCACTAGCTGGTTGGCTGCTCCGAGAGAAACTGACACTTGTCATTTGAGAGCAACCCATCCTCCGAGGACTTTGAGCGAAAATCATCAAGTGAGGAAAAACCCAAAACCCAAACACCTACAAACCCCAAGTGATTGAGCATCACTGAAGAGATTGATCCTGTGTGGATCCGACGCTTGTTACCTTTGAAGATTGTGCTTCTTCCAAACGGTTAGGCGTCATGGTCTAGAGCATCCAAGAGGAATTGTGGATCGCCGAGTGACCAAGTTTGTGAAGGTTCGGAAGTCACCTGAAGACTTACCACGAGTGATTGGACGAGGTCTGTGTGACCTTAGTTCAAGAAGAATACGGTGAGGACTGGGTGTCCTAAGCTACGTGTTCAGGACTGGGTGTCCGGAACTGTGTGTCCTCGAGTTTAAATACTCAACCGCTCCAACCAGACGTACAACTGAGACATCAGTTGGAACTGGTCTACCAAATCATTGTCTTCACCAAGCTTACTGGTTTTATTTCCTCAACTCTTTCATTTCCTCATAACTGTGTTGTGTGCTTGTTCATATCTGTGTTTGAAGACTTTGACTGAAGACTTTCTCAATTTCTTCAGTTCACTTTCTTCAGTATGTTTGTCTTCATCCTGTGTTATCCTGTGCTTACGCTTCCTGTACTCTGTGCCTGTCTTCATTTCATCATGATGACTATGCTTGTATTATGTTATGTTTACTTTTGAGTACTCATTCCGCTGCTAGTAGTTTTTCATAAAGGAATTTCCTCACCGGCAAATTCCTCAGTGAAGAATTTCATAAAAATCGCCTATTCACCCCCCTTAGTCGATATAACGCACTTTCACTTGACGCATGACTGCATGCGAGGTGTGTCCGCTGGCAGCAAGATGTGGAACACGGGAGGTGGAGGGAAGGAGCGCCTGCGGTGGCCAGAGGATGACCCAGCCTCATGGCGGTGCTTCCTCTTGCAGTTGGGCATCCAGTGCCAGCCTATGGCCGACGACGAGGAGGGGAAAGAGCGGTTGCGAGGAGCTAGGGTTTGGGGCGTATCGGGCTTCGAGGAGGCATGCGTCGTCGGGAGTTGAAGTGTGGACTGACCGGTCGACGGCTTCCACATTAAAAAGGACGCTGACCCCGTGGCTGGATGGCTGACAGGCGGGGCCGCCCGCGCGTGCAACCTAAATGCGGGCGGTGGGAGGTAGGTGGGCGGCTGCCACGTGGGCCGGAGGCGGACGCGGAGCGGCCGCGTGGGCATCCGTTAGTCGTCTGCCTGGACGCAAACCGCGTGCAGTTTTGCACCATAAATGGGGCGGGCCGAATGCCAAATGGACAAAATATGAGGATGGGGTCGCACGTTGGGCCGTGGCGTCTGCTCGTTTGAGCCAAAACGGACACACTCGAACCAGACGAGGTCGTGCGTTGGAGTTAGCCTTACAGTTTCTCCCTTTTCTTGAGAAAAAGCAAGTGCAGCAGTTCATTGTGTTGCTATGTTATAACTGAAACAAAGATTTTCAGGTTGTAGAAGATGCCATGTGTTATGGGAATGGGAATTGATTAAAATTGATCGATCGGACCAAGGCTTCTGCCGCATTCCACTGCGCGCCAAGGCTGTCACGAGTTGTGAAGAACAAAAGGGAGGGGTCGGTCGAGGTGCATGGTAGAGCAGGCGAGAGGCGTTGCGAGCACCCCTGACTGGTGTTGGGACGTTGAGGGGAGGAGCTACGAGGTGCTACAACCGACGGAGTTGGAAACTTCTACCAGGTGAAGCTGAAAGCTACGACCGACGAAATCGAAAGCTACAACCGGCAGGGCATGCGACCACGCTGGCGACCACCAATGTTGCTACCGACGGAGCTGGAAGCATCTACCGATGAAGCTAAACGCTATGACCAGCAAAATCGAAAGCTGCAACTGGCAGGGCACGCGGCCACGACGGCGACCACGAATGCTACAACTGGTGGAGCTTGAAGCTTCTACCGGTGAAACTGAAAGCTACAACCGACGAAATCCAAAGTTGCAACTGACTGGCACGCGACCACACCGATGACTAGAGATGCTGCAATCGGCGGAGCATGAAGCTTCTATTGGCGAAGCTTTTGAAAGCTACAATCGATGGGCACTGTGGTACACGATGACTGGCTGAAGGTGAACTATTCGGCGATCTTCCGTGGCGCCAGACGTGCCTAGTTTTGTCCTTCGTAGCTTCGTCGGAGTCAGAGTTGCGTTGTTTGGTCTTAGCTGGCTGAGCTGTAGCATGGATCGGGATCTTCATGCAACTCTCTGGTGCCTTTACAACGTGGGTTGAGTTGACGATCACCTACGGCAAAGTCGGAGTCGTTTGCTCAGGGTTTAGAGATGGCAATGCCGCCTTTAGGGGAGGAGTGATGATGATGACGCTCGTGTGCTATCTCGGCAAAACCCTCTTCGGAGTGATGTGCGCGTGGTATCTGAGTGTGCCGCTTAGCGATTGTGATGGTTTCGCCCGGGTTTCCATCAATAACTAGGCAAGCTTGGTTTTGCTCGTTTTCTTCTAATTAATCAAGCAACTTTTTTCTTCTTGATAAATGCAGACATTCTGCCATTTTGAAAAGAAAAAACAATTGACGGGCATACAGGACCACGACACGCCATCCATGCTGCAACCGGCGGAGTAGGAAGCCTCTACGGCAAACCAAAAAAGTTGCGACCGACAAATCAAAAGATGCAATCAGCGATTACGCGACCATGTCATGATTGAGATGTGCAATACTTATAACACATTTACACGTGCTTTAGCAAAATTGAAGAAAAATCAAATGATGCAGGAGTAAGTATTATTTTTGGGTACGTACTGGTACGTAGCGAGGAGCGTGTGCTCCCGAGTTCACCTCGTAGAGATCTCGACGGTGAGAAGAATGGCAACGGCGGATCGTTCACCAAAGCGAAAGGCGATGGAACAAGGAAGGCGGTGAGGCGGACGGCTGCGGGGCCATCGGAATAGGCGGGAGGCGGCGGCGGGCAGCGACGGGAGGACGGCGGACTCTCGCCGAGGCAGATACAGCGGATTGGCACGAAGAAGTGGGAAGCACATGCCCAGCGGCGGCGCCCCTCTCGCCGTCTTCCTCGTCTCGTCCCTCAAGGCCGGCGCGCGCCTCCGCCACGGGGAGCAGCTCCACGCGCTCGCCGCCAAGTCGGGCCTCCTCGCCTCCAACCCCTTCGTCCGCAACTCCCTTCTCGCCTTCTACGGCCGGCTCCCCTCCCCCCAGGCGCCGGCGCTCGCCCACCACCTGTTCGACGAAATACCCCTGGTCCTCCGCGACCCCGCCGCCCACAACATCCTCCTCGCCGCTCTCGCCCGCGCGGGCCGGCTCGACCTCGCGCGGCGCATGCTCGCGGAGATGCCCCAGAGGGACACCGTCTCGTACACCACCGTCTTGACCGCCCACGCGCGCGCCGGCCACGCGGAGGACGCCGTGGCGGTCTTCCGCGGCATGCTCGCCCAGGACGTGCCTCCCAACGAGGTGACCCTTGCGGGCGTGCTCACGGCGCTGGCCCAGGAGAGGCCGCCGGTGCCGGTGGGTGTGGCGCATGGAGTCACCGTGCGACGTGGGCTCGACGGGTTTCTCATTGTGGCCACCAACCTGGTCCATGCTTATGCGGCAGCGTCACAGGTTTGTTATGCCCGTGAGATCTTTGAGCAGATGCCATATAAGAACACAGTCACTTGGAATGCCATGCTTAACGGCTATCTGAAGACAGGGATGGTTTATATGGCTGCTGAGGTATTTGGGAGGATCCCGGAAAGGGATGCAGTCTCTTGGCTGACGATGATAGATGGGTATATCCGTGCAGATGGTACATCAGAAGCCCTGAGGGCATATGTTGCCATGATGGCTGAGGTGGACACGAGGGGCAATGCGGCGCTGCTTGTTGATTTGATAAAGGTGTGTGTTCGACATGCTGCGGTTTTAGAAGGGCAGCAACTACACACAGTCATTCTGAAGGATGGTTTTGATGCCCATCCGTTTGTACAAGCGACCCTTATCCATTTCTATGGTTCCTGTGATTGTCTTGACCTTGCCCGGATGCAATTCAAATTATCAGACAAGTCACACATTGCGTCTTGGAATGCTCTCATGTCTGGTCTACTACACAGGAACCTAATGCGTGAAGCAAGGCAACTGTTTGATGACATGCCTGAGAGGGACACCATTTCATGGAGTACTTTGTTATCTGGGTATGTACAGAGTGGACATTCAAACAAGGCTTTGCAGTTATTCTACTTGATGCTGGGTGCTGGTGTTGAACCGAATGACATCACTTTGGCAAGTACTCTATCCGCAGTTGCTGATTCTGGCACATTGGAGCAAGGCAGATTTATTCATGACCATATAATCAGCAAATCAATCCAACTTACAGACAACCTGAGTGCTGGACTGATTGATATGTACGCAAAGTGTGGTAGTGTCGCTGATGCAGTTCAATTATTCAGTTATGTTAAGCATAAGTTATCTTCTGTGTCTCCTTGGAATGCTACCATCTGCAGTTTAGCCATCCACGGCCATGCACACACGTCGCTTGAACTGTTCTCAGAACTACGAAGCACCAATATTAAGCCCAACTCAGTCACATACATTGGTGTCTTGAATGCATGCTCTCATGCTGGGCTGGTAACCGAAGGGAGGCACCATTTTGAGTCCATGAGGAGAGAATATGGAATCCAACCAACAATTAAACACTATGGTTGCATGGTTGATCTTCTTGGTCGAGCTGGACACTTGGAAGAGGCAGAAAATCTTATCCAGATGATGCCTATGAAATCAGATGTGGTGATATGGGGCAGCATCCTTGCAGCCGCGAGGACACATGGAAATGTAGCCTTAGGAGAAAAGGCCGCGGAAGAATTGGCCAAGATTGATCCAAACCATGGAGCATCCAAAGTGGCCTTATCTAATATCTTTGCTGAGGCTGCTCGCTGGAATAATGTGTCCTTGGTGAGGAAGGAACTCCAGGGTGAAAATATGGAGAGGTTTTCTGGAAGCAGTGGAGTTGTTCAGTAATAGGTCATTACATTTCCTGATTGGATTCTTCTTGTGCAACAATTATGATAGCAAGCAGCTTCGTTTGTGTGATTATTCATTTGGTTTGCCATCCGTACAGTTATGATTCGTTAAAGAACTAAAATGGCAGCAACTGAATATATGACAAAGCTGACAGGCAATACATCTCCAGAAAACTGCTGTTTTCTTCTCTAGGCAGTTACACTACTCCTTTGCATGTAAAACTGCTATTTAGAAAATCTATTTATGAACTTAATGACAAAATATTTAATTGCACGTTACTTACCATTATGTCACATGTGCAAATCCTAAAAACATTGTCTTGCTTCCTTTCCTTTTGTATCAAATTTGCCTGGCCATTCTTGCTTTCACTTTCTGCACTGTGTTAAAATCACATGGACTATTCAGGAAAAGGTTAGGATGCTATGAGAAATATCAGTCTTTCTTCACACAATATATGCTTTACATATTTGCTTCAGATATAGGCCTTCTAAATGGTATCCTCACATCACTGGTTTTGTGTTCAGAATCTATGCAGGCTGATTTAAGATTATCAACTTCAGTTTGATCTGCTCTTCTCTGTAGAGATTTTTCATGCTCGATTGTTTTTTTTCCATTTACCAATCTAGAATTCATTTGAGACATGGTTTGCATGTCAGGGCCAATTACCTCTGGTTTGGTAAAATAGTTAACAATTACTCCCTCTCTAAACTTTTATAAGATGTTTTAGGCCACTAAAGAAGTTTACAGAGGGAGTACTGATCATGATTCATGATAGGTGATAAAGGTTGTTACCACAATGGTGCTCCCTTTCTTTCTGCGCAGTTTACAGTGGTACATTGTCGCAAGCTAGCATTCAGTTTTTTTTTTCCATCCTTAGGAGGGAAGAATTGGCTGCTTCCTAGTTCCCTTTATGTACAGGAAGATTTTTTTTCTCAAACGGGCACCTAAGTGCTCGTCATTGTATTAGAAGGAATGCCAAGATGGTGGGAGTCTTACAAACACGAACTAAAAAGTGAAAGCAAAAACAGAAAGCAAAGGCAAAGAAAGAAACATTAAAAGAAAAGTGTACACCATCCTAGCATCAAATACAGGGCGTCAATTGCAGCACTATAGTTCCATTGACCAGCCTTAAAATGATTACTCAGATTTAGGAATGTGTTGCTGATTGCCAAGTAGCCAGGTTTGTATCATCTTATGAATCATATGAGACGGGCTGTCGATACACATGTGTTATCATAAAACTCCAGTATGCGTTAAAGCATGTTGTCATTCCTCTATTTGTGTCCTTTTTGTTTTGCAGTCAAGTTGCATGGTTCACTTTGAAGTTGTGTATTGTGACAATTTGTGATAATGTCGATAATTTTTGCAGTATCTATCTTACAGTCTGATGGATATGCCTCATGGTGGTGCATTTACTCTTGAATCAAGACATCTTTCTCCTCTCGTCAAAGGTTGCTACAAAACAATATAGGTGTGTGCTATATGCTTCACTTCAAAGCTTTTTTTCCCCTGTTGGTGCCACTTTTTACTTGATCTATACTAAAACTGACACTCTAGGTGTGTGCTATGTTATAATCCCTCCGTTCGGAAATACTTGTCTTAGAAATGGTTGTATCTAGAACTAAAACAAGTCTAGATACAATCATTTCTAGGACAAGTATTTCCGAACGGAGGGAGTATTTACTAAGAAAATCAGTTTGAGTGTCATACAAAAAGCAATGTGTTGGTGTTTCATGGATCTTTAAAATTTCTGTTAGGAGCACTTCACTTAACATTGCTCTTCTCGATGGCAGCTCCCAGTTCAGATGTGGACTAATCAAATACAAGCTGCAATGAGCCTAGGCTGTTCAGTAACATTGTTAAGCGAATATTTCGACAAAAGGGATTTTACTACTGCCATTGGTTGCTACTCTTAGGTCACCTGTTATCTGTCTGTTCATTATTTATTAAGTTGTCGTTCGCTTTTTTATGGCAAAAAAAGGTGTCATTTGTTTTCATTGGGTCTTACTTAATCTATGGCACCATGTACACACTGTATCAAACAAAATAATATTGTTCTTCTCCATCTTCTGGAACAACCATAGTTTAACAGTTACTTAACCATATAGATTTTTCTTTGGGATAAATTTAGCTTTGAAATGTTCGTATTAGATCGCAAACTTCTATTCCTAGAGGTCAATCTTGATTATAGCCTTTTGAATTTGCTTTGCAGTTTGTTGAAGCTGGTACCATGATTTCGCCCACAATTTATACCAGGCGTCAGTTGTCATATCGTGAATGACATGCCGTGATAAGTTCTGGCTAATGCAGTGCAGACTCTGTTGATAAGGCCAATAGAAAAGGCACTTCAATTTTCCCTGACCCAATCTATTTGATGAGGAAAGGTGTGTATCAAGGAAAATTAAACAGGAATAGGCATTTTCCTTTTGACCATTGCCCTGCAAACTCAGAATTCTTGCCTATAATTATTTGGGCTGCAATAGGTGAGCTTAGGATACTGTTTTCAATTTTCTAACCTTTTCTTTTCTGTGCAAGGGCGATAATATGTTTGAAGAGTGAATCATTTATCACCCATTGTATTTGTGTATGCTGACATATGGAAGAAAGTGCTAAGTTGTATAGATGATTCTTCATGTAGCCACAGATGGGGGAAAATATTCTTGTGTAACATAAACTAAGTGAAGCAGCAAGCTTTTTGCTTGACTGGGTACGAAGGAAGATGCTGATATACTCGTCACTTTAATCTTAGTTTTTGGTTAGACAACAGTTGAATACTTTTGTTTCAGTAATACTCCAACATTAGAACTTGTAACCCCAGAGTTTTTTTTTATCTTAGTGATGCCATTGCTATGGTCTATTAGTAACATACACATGATACTTTGATGGCATCTGATTTTTGTTCTAATCCATATCTGATTTTCTTAAGCAATAGTTGGGTGTCTAGAGTATAGAATAAAGAAAATGACTTCTCTAGATGATGTAGCCGCTCGATTATTTGTTGAAGCTAGATCTGATGTAGGCTAAGGATTAGTGCTCATAATCGCTGGGTTTCACCACACAATGTCATACATTTGTTTTGTGCATCGTCAAATAGTTATTTTCTTCTTTGTGTTTTTTCTAATATTGTTTCGTTCCTGCTCCTCATGGATCAGTTACTCCCTCCGTTTCATAATTCTTGCCGTGGTTTTAGTTCAGTAAGACAAGAATTATGGAATGGAGGGAGTACTTTACTAATTTCTTTGTCATATCAATAGCCATTTGTTCCCACTTGATATGATGTCTTTTATTTTTCTATAATGTGCTTGCGATCCCGGGTGAGGATGTTGGCTTCTGATGTCCACACTCACTTTTGTATCCACGTTGCACTCCGTGCCAGGCTCTTGATTATAATAAAGTGAACTATATTTCGTAATATATCAACGTAATATGTACATGGTTGACAGCTCCTTGCACCTTCGAGTGGAGAGTTTAACAAAGTTGATCTTTTCTTCATGGTAAATCAGCAGTTTATCTTCTCGTGTGCAGCTGCGCTTCCAGATTACCCCACCGTGTGTGCTATCTTTTATCGTCTTGAGTTTGCTTTTGCTCTGAACAAAAAAAAATCTGACTTCTTTGGCAGCAAACGTTGCTCAGTGGTCTACCCTACGTGCAAATTTTTGTGAAGTAATGTTATTTCCGTTGGTCTGGCAAAAAAAAAAACTATATGCTTCGAAATGCTTTCAAAAACATCATATTTGAAGGGTTTATTCTTTTTTACCAGAGCATTATGAATGTTTTGTTTCTTTACGAAACTTTGCATGTAGGTGAAACACTCAACAATGTTTGTTGTAAAAAATCATTTTTTAATTGTTTTACTATTTTTCTCATTTTACTTTTCATCCTGGTTTCTCCTTCCAGATTCTTGACCAGTTGCTTAAATTGATTGCTTGCATAATTCAAATGTCAAGTGTCTACTTACAAGATACGAGGAAAAGTAATATGTAGCCCATCTGTTGCGATGGATGGACATGCAAAGGGTGATGCAACTCCTCAACTCTCTTGCTCAGCTGCCTTGCACATACATTGGCGTCCGCTGGCTGTTTTCCAACCCAAGGATCATGCCCAAGATAACATCATCTTCCAAGCTTTTCTTTTATTATCTTCATCATGATGGCGTCTAGGTTCAAATGATGGTTGATGCTAGGTAAACTTTTTTTTTGGAAACATCACCGGGGTCAAACTGCCCACCTGAATTTTCGTTTAGTCGACGTCTGGCAAACTGTCAAAGATACAGTGTTTTCTTCGCCCACTCTCAGTTTCAAGATCATGTGGTGTATGTCTGGCACTATGTTGCTGGCCTCTTATATTTACAGGCCAGCTTGTTCTCAACCACTACCTGATGTCTATGAAAAACTCCCTCCTGTTGCATTAGGATGGATGTTTAGTATATTTTCATATGAAAAGATCACAATGTTGGTAAAAGTCATAGAATGGACTTGCGTTCATTGTTGGAAGAGCCCTTGAGACGAGTGTCCTTGTAAAACATTATTAGTATGTTGACTGCTACAGACTGTTTTTTTTCCCTCTTTGGTGCATGCACAAACAACATTTTTGTGTCAATAGCGCTTCTTTTGTTTTAGTACATATGTCGCCAATATTGGCGGGGGCATATACTTACCGTTTCTATTGGGCACGAAAGGATGCTTCTTAATTAAGTTTCCGTCTCAAAAACTGAATGAAATGAGCCAGTATAATTGTAGTCACTGTCTGCATGTGGACTGCAACCTCTATTGCCAAGTAGAAATTGTAGGCTCATTGACAACTCATGTGCATTAGGCCCTTTCTCCATGGTGTACAAGTGCTAATCATTGCCACATAAGCAAAAAAAATGACATGAAAATGCAATTAAGAAGGAGAGAGAGCAGGCCTGTGACCCTGGGAAGAAACAACGTCACGCACATGAACCTAGCAAAACACTTAAACGAAGAAAGATCACCAATGCATAGAAGAGTTTAGTT